AACGTGATGTTGACTAAGCGATGACGTGTCCCACAAATGTGCTTAAGCAATTGACTTTTTCACTGGGGAGTTTTGGACCCTCCATACGCATTACAAAACATGTTAAACTTTCAAATCATATTATTACGATGAACCCTTACGAAGATCATAACTTTCACCTCTAGATCAAGGGTATTGAACATTGATGCTCCACTCTCGAGCCCAACAAAAAACTTTCGCATTGTAATAACTGCAGGCCAATCCTTTCTCACAGAACCTATTGTACGAGAGTAGTGCATTTTCGTAGTACAATATCAGGAACTCATGCCTTCCCAATTTTACTTTATCCAGGTGGGGTGCGCAATAGACTTACCTTCACGTGGTGCACCCTGGGCAACGTATACTCATACGGCAAAAAAGTCTATTAATCGACAGTTGACTTCTGACTTCAAACTACCATGACCCCACCGTATGTCATATTCGACTACTTCCATAGTACTCACCTCACCTTTTTCTCTACAAATGTGCCTGTCTGTCGCTTTTACATCTGTGAATCACTCTTCCGTTACCTCTCTCGACTTTTGTGACTTTGATGTTCCTCCTCCTCTCTGTGAAGCCCAAAGTCAACTAAAGGGCTAATGATAACCATCATAAAGCCTGTCATTTGATACAAATAAATAAACTTTATCCAGGTAATTTAGGTCTGCATATTCTTGATGGGTAGAATGGTTCATATGTATCCGTTTACCACTGTTGGCAACTATCGATGAAAAACAAGATGACGTCTTTTTCTCATTTTTTGTTAATTGTTTGCCTCATAAAAATCGACTTCGTCGTTATCGCACCACACAACCATCCCAAGGTACGAACCAATTCAGTAAAAAACAATACGTCAAGCTTAACCAACAATGCGACCGACAAAAGTAACCAGAGCATCGAAAAATTTCGAATACTGTAAGATATATATATTATTCAGTAGAATAGTCAAATGTATGCAAGAACAAGAATGGAAAAGCGGTTATCATTCCAATCTCTATGGAATGAGAGAGAAAACTCTTTCCACAAGAAGACCTATATTTTCGTAGATATCGGCAATAGTGGCAGCACCACACATATATGCGGGAGCAGTTACGACAAAATTTTTCTGATCGACACAAACCTCCTATTAAAAACAAAATACAATCATTAAATGAGATTCAGTAGTGAGATATCGGATATTTTTCAATGAAAAAAGCGTATGAGAAACAAAAAGGTATAAGTGTTGCGGAAAATAAAACATTTTTCATTCAAAAAATCGAGATACTCGTCCTGTAGTGTTCCATAAATCAACCAAGCGCATATCCTACACTTATATAGTTATAATCCTATACTTCACATAATATTTGACTAAAAGAATAAATACTTAGTGAATTCCAGTGATGTCGAGATTATAAAAGATTACGTAATCAACTCAAAGCTTCATATATAATTGCTGTAAATATGCTACTTATATAAATATGAACGAAAAACCACACGAGCTAGTTATCTGTACCTAAAGACAAATCCGGTTACGTCTTTTACGAAGTCAAAACAAAGATCTGCCCACCTATTATCTTTACGTGAGCATAAAGCGACCTGTTGGACCATTATCAACCTTGTAAATATTAAAATGAAACCTTTTGCATAAAACTTACGGTGATTTGGCAATCTTCATGCTGTGCCCCCATTTTCTCGATAGCACTTGCAGTGCCTGGATCTGTTCCTATGGTAACGCGGGCACCCTTGATACAACGTGCCGCCAGAACTGGGGCGATGCAGCAAAACCTACGAGAATTAGACAATAAAGGATACATTTTATCAGAGTGAGCTATCACAAGACAAATACTAAATAAAAGCATACCCCATCGGCTTCTTCAAATCATGAAATCCTTTAATGGCTTTCTCAACATCCGGAATTACTTTGCAATCACTAGAGGCTGATGCGAAATTGCAACTAAGAAATAATTATCGTTAGATATGTTGGACTACAGATTAGTGGCTGCCCCAAAGCCACCGGGGAAGAAGAGGGCATCATAATTCGATGGGTTGAGCTTGGACAAAGCACTAACGTTGCCTCGGCTAATACGAGCAGACTCAACAAGACAATTTCTTAAGAGATTAGTAAATAAAATACAGATACCTCTTTTCTGGTACCTGTTTATGAGTTGCGTGGTTGGTAACATGATCCTGATCCATGTCTGGGGCGAAAAAATCAACCTTAGCTTTTGCTTTGCTTAAATGAATAAGCATAGAGGTTGCTTCATGTATTTCACTTCCATCAAAAACACCGCAACCACTAAGGACCTAAAAGAAATAAATTTTGGAAGTAAAAAACTTATACGTCGTACCACAGCGACTCTCCTATGTGATGAGCTCATTAGGCGAAAAGGCTGTCTCGGGGCAAAATTAAGATATGCACTCCGGATAGCCAATGACAAGAACGACATCCGAATTTTCTTAGTTATTTGTTAACCATCGACCTAGAATTTACCAATAAAATTTCTAGTTGAGTTCTAGCCAAAGAAAATTTAAATTTCGAGTTCAAACTAAAATACAATATATATATATATATATATATATGGATAAATTTTATACTATAGCATATGTAATATATTTACACATGACAATCTAATGCACTAAGCAAATCGTTTAAGAGACACTTGGTAGCTCGTTTGTATCTATTTTTACATGAATCAAAACTATGAGGGCGCAATTGTTAGGCCTTTGAGCAGGGCCTTAATAAAAATACATTACAAATTCCAAAATTGTTTTTGTTATGAAATTAATTTTCCTGGTTTTTTGTTATTCAATATTTCAATTTGGGGGTAGAGAAATCAAGTTGAGAATTAGTAATATAATATAACAAACGAATAGGAGCCTACATTACGCTGCGGATCCCTTTAGGTTGGGAAATGCATTTACAAGTTATGCATATTCTTTCTTCACATTCTTTCAAGTGACTACTCAATTCCATGTAATTAGTTTCGAATAGAGTAATAGGTGGTTTAATGTTTCCTCTTTTATTGTCACTGCCGAGTTCAAATTTACCTGTGCTTTTAATTCTATATATTGAACTCAACCTATTTTTCATTATTCATAGAGTGTGTATATGAATCATTTCGAGTTTGAAGTAACTGGGCAAGTTGGAATTCATTTTGCTCTTACCAATTAGTTCCAGCTACAATGATTTTAACATTGCACTTCAGTGAAACAAGCTCAGTTAGTGAAACATCTAACTATTACTGCTTTTTGTTTTTTTTTTTACTTTTACGTTGCTCATTGCATCAAAATTCTTAATTAAAACTTAGACTAAAAGGTGGCATCAGCAATATATTATTTATTTCCATAAGTTCAGGGTACTTTAATAATGAATGAAACAGGATTCAGGTGATAAGAAACAATGGGCAGTGATGATTATATGGACTTTGACCTTTTTTATCCACATATACTTCACTCCGTCACTCTCTCCAAGTTGGGCCAATCGAACCTATGCTCCCTTAAATAGCGATTTCAAATACCGATCACAAATCCACTCAAAGCAAATTTTTCGCCATAAATATTTATTTTTATCCGGAAACTGTATTTTATAAATAGCATAACAGAATTACCATTAGACTATTTAAGAAAGTCCAACCTCCTATACGTTCATTTTCATTTAACATTTGCTAACTAAATCCTCATTAGGTTTATTGCAAAAATCAACTAGCAATGGTAATTCAAGTTCACTGTGAAATTTAAAACCAAGTTAGGTGAAAAGCTCTAATATATTAAGTTTAAAGGCTATGCGTTATTTATACAATTACTAAATCTAGTGTGTTGATTCCCGTAAACCCGAACAGCTACTGTTAAAGATCCCACAAGCAACCAAAAGCAACTTTTAATTCAATATTTATATTAAATGCGATCCTATTTTTGCCACTTTTGCGTTATTACGTTCTTTACTTCCCAAATCAATAATTAATTTATGTTTGTGTTGCCCGAGCAGTGGAACGAAAGAGTTAAAAATTAATTGTGCTTTTATCTTAATTGTACTTTATCTTCCCACGGTAAAGCACACTTTTATATTGTTCCTATGATGAACTAACGTCATTAAAATTAGATTTCGCCAAATACAAAAGCTTAGTAACTTTAGAACAAGATATGGCTAACAGTGATAGCTAGATTAGATAGATAAATAAGCAAGATCAAATTATTAATCGTATCCCTGATTTTAACATCGGCATAATTGGGACCGTTTTTAGATTTTGATGCACATGCAAAAATTGGTTCATATTAAAAAAACGCTACGAAATTCAAGATAAATCAAAAGGAAGTCGTTTTCTCCCTTGAGACCAAATTCTTGACTAGTTACACCTTAAATACCAACTAAAATGATTCCAAAGTTAAATATTCGTAGAGCAATTCAATTCGTCTATTTGACACATCGTGCAATTCATTTCAATTCATTAGTTTCAAATTGGGTCGAATTTTGGGACTCCCATTTGCATCTTGCTTTATCGGTTAAAGAAATCGTAACTAATCACAGATATGCCTGAATCACTTTCAAATTATGAGTCTAGCATTACTCACTGTGGATTATTGCATAAGGGCGGAAAATATGTCCGCTTTTACGAGGGACCGGTAATGGTTGTATTTGAAAACATAGGCATCCACCCATTACTTCATTAATTGCCCTCATTTCCTAGCATCAAGTAATTTGCTCAAACGCGCTACCCTTTTCCTTAAAAAACTTCATTTAATATACTTGATTACCCAATTGATGATGAGGTTGTTTAACATTTTATTTCTAGCTAATTAGGAGGTCAACAAATAGCTTCCTTGGAATTTACCTCTTCCATTCTTAATGCGTAATCTGGGTATATAATTCTTCTATTAGTTGCAAGCCCACTAGCACTACATCAAATCAGAATGCCATTTACCTTAAGTGACCATCGAGCTTATCCTTTTAGAGTTGTTGTTAATTTCTTTTTTATCATTTTCATCAATTACCAACGAATTAATCAATGTCTCATAAACAGAAGTTGACACTATTGTACAGGAATCAATGGCAAGTTTGTTTAGAATGTAAATGAATTACCTCTCAGATGCTTGCGTTTCTAGTGGAATCTGCCTCCTCTTTAAAAATAAATGGCAAATAATTATTGCTTGGTCCTTGTAATAAATACAGTTATCTTGTCAAACCATTTCCAATAAAATCGCAAAGGAATACAGCTATATCGTTCCTCTAAAATTGCAACTATTTTCTACTTCTGAGAACTAACTGGATAAGATAGTATACCCTGCCATAAACTGTTATATCGCCCTCCCACGCATAGCCACATATGCTCTAAATGGTGCGTTCTTTAAAATGTGCTCCGGACCAATAAGAAAGATTACTTAATCAGACGTAAACAAACTAATATCTGCGCAGAAATTATCAAAATGAGGTAACATATCGAAAAATTCATGGTTGAACGTTTTTAAAATTAAATTAAGTTAACAATAAATTATTTATTTAAATTTGCTTGTCATTGATTTATAAATTTGAGTTTCAATAAATAAAAACAGTGTAAATTGTCATAAATTGGATTGTACTTGGGCAATTTATTTTTCAATTCGTTCGGTATTTTTTATTTTTAGTTAAATGGAACGCTTGGATTTTCTGACTTTCGCAAATTTATTATCAAAATGATTTGCATATTCAATTTAAATTATGTATTAGAAGGGGTTATCCGAATTTCACCAAAAACTGAGAACATCTCCCTTGAACCAAAATTTTACCTCGTAAGTGAAGAAGAGAACTATGTATCGACAGAACTGATTGACACCAGTTGACTAAGGAATTGCTAAGGCCATGAATGTTCATTTAGATCCCCTCTGACATCTATAGGCAGTTTATTCCTTCCTATTCGTGTCAATTCGAGCAGCATCTACTTTTCTATAACCACAACGAAGTTGGAGAAGAATTTTCTCGAAAAAGAGCACTTTCACTACCTTCGAAACTAGTGGGGATGATGATGATGATGATTAACCCAGTACGATCTTTCTTTTAGTGTCGATGAAAGGGATGTGCTGATGCTTTAATGCATCCTGAGGAGTGCATATTGGCAGCAAATTTCATTCCTAGCAGCGGTCACTGATACTTTTAAATGAAAATAAAACTAGTTGAATACTTAACTTCAGTATAAAGATTCGTATTATTATTAAAATGGGCACATAGTAAGGAGCAGGTGGGCTATGTACCTTGTGCATTAAAAGTCATCCAAATATTTGTTTATTTATATTATAATATTTTAAAATAGGAGCGACAGGTTCTTTTAAATCAAAGTATTTTAAAGTAACCTGCTGATTAAAATCGTGGCATCTAATGACCTCTGTTATTGGATAAGGTAACAGTGTGGCTACTTAAAACGTATAACAACGAATCCACTATGCCAAAATAGTAAAGAGCATAAACGAATAGTCTGAGATTTTAAACAAATAAGCTTATCTTCAAATATTCGCCAACTTTTGTAATGTAAGTATAGCCACCTACCGACTTTAATAGGTGGAAGGAAAGCATAACCAAATCTTATGGGGCCAGTAAGCTCCTTACCTCAGATTTACGAAAAGTGCACGTCAACCTAAAACACTTCATAATTACTTTAATCGCATAATCAGTATAATAGAATGTTAATTCAGTTGTAGATGAGGTAACGCTTAGAGGAATAGCAATCGGTAGGCTTGCAAAACGGGCAATGTAGGCTAGGATGTATGTGAAGGAGTTTGGTGGGGGGGG